CTCCTCCTCCTCCTCCTCCTCCTCCTCCTCCTCCTCCTCCTTCTCCTCTCCCTTCCCCTCCTCCTCCATTCCTTTTCCTCATGAGTAACTTCTCCCTGCCACACCCCGAGGCCTATTTCTAGGACGGGCCGGGCGCTAAAAACGCGACACCAGTTTCACAGATGGAGCGCGGCTGATTTCAAAATGTGGCTCCCGCCTTATCGCCGCACACATTCTTTTTCAAAATTCGCACGAGTTTCACGGATTGAGGGCGAGTCGTTTTCAAAATGTGGCTCTCGCTTTGGCGCCGCGCACATTCGTTTTCAACATATGCAAAAAAGTTCACGGATTGAGGGCGGCTCCGTTTCAAAACGTGGTGTTCACCGTAGCGCCGCGCATATTCGTTTTAAAAATACGAGCGGTTTCCCGTGATCGACGTGCCAAAAATAGCGTTTCGGAAGGATTCGCGACTATGAGGGTGCAACAGGTACGATGGCTCGCGGTGTTGAAGTCCCACGAATGGCGTTATGGCACGATTCTGGATCGTCAAGACGCAACATTCAGCTTGATCCGTGGCGTTGGAACCCCGAGAGAAATATGTTGACATGCTTCAGGGTCTGAAAACGGTTGTCTTCCACCGAGACAGGTCCCTCTGTGGAAATAAACCGTTGTAGGTGCCTATGAAAAGAGAGCGTGGGGAAGGTGGATTTCCAACATCGTTGGTGACTATTGGGTTTACACTGGTCCTCCTCCTCCTCCTCCTCTTCCTCCTCCTCCTCCTCCTCTTCCTCCTCCTCCTTCTCCTCCTCCTCCTCCTCCCTCTCCTCCTCCTCCTGCCCCTCCTCCTCCTCCTCCTCCTCCTCCTCATCCTCCTCCTCATCCTCTACTCTCTCATTCTCTCTCCTCCTTTCCTATGATCCCCCTCCTCCTGCTCTCCTCCTCCTCTCCTCCGCCTCCTCCTCCTCCTCCTCCTCCTCCTCCTCCTCCTCCTCCTCCTCCTCCTCCTCCTCCTCCTCCTCCTCCTCCTGTAAGGAGGAGAACAGGCAATGGCACACATAGACTTCTGGGGGCCTCCTGAGGCCTCGTGGAGCCTTCTGGTGGCTGGGGCTTCCTGTTGCCGACTTCGGCATCCTAGGGCTACTTCTGGCCTCCTGAGATTTCCTGGAGCCTCCTGGGGCCTCCTCGAGCCTCCTGGGACCTCCTGGGGCCTTCCTGGGACCTCGTGAGGCTTCCTGGAGCCGCCTGGAACATCGCGGGGCCTCCTGGGGCCTCCTGGACTTCCTAGCCCGAGGCTTCAGGCCGTCGAGCGCCACGCGAGGGTCCGCTCCAAGGAGCGGTTCCCAACGTTGTTATGCGATGAGCCTTCCCAAGACCGTCCTGGCAGGGCATCTGAGGGGCCCCTGACCATGTTGGCGGACCCTCGAAGGAGCAACTGTCGCATGACTCATCATACGAAGGGCTGCCACTGCACCCTCAGCACGCACAGCCCTCGCGGCACCGTACGGAACGCTGCCTGACGAGCGGCAGGGGCTCTCCTGGCCACGCCACGGCTTGGCTTCCCGACCGGGAGATCTGAGGAACAGCCCGAAGACCATAGCCCCTCCACAGCGATCCTTGTTCCAGAGGATTGGCTGTAGAGACGAGCAGCAGCGGCAGCAGCAGCAGCAGCAGAAGCAGCAGCGGCAGCAACCAAAGGGTCGCCAGAGCTCCGCCGGGCGCCCGGCGGAGGCATGCCCTCGCTGCATCGGAGCGAAGCGGGCAGCACTGCCTCAGAGGAAGGATGAGAAACAGGAATGCGGAAGGCTGCAGGTCCCAGCGCTGGATGGAAGCGATTGTACACCGTTGGCGAGTGCGTGCAGACCAGGAGCAAGATCCGATAAACGATCGGGCCCGAGCCCCTGCGAACCAGCAGAAACCGACCCGACATCGTCAGGACTTGTCGCAGGAAGGGGGCCAAGAAGATCTGCAGTCTGCGCGAGCAGGACAACCGGTTGCACAAGTGTTCTGCCCTGAACTCGAAACGACCGCGTGTCTGCCCAGAAAGCGAAGCAGATCGGCACATCATGGCCTGTAAAAGGAAGCATTAGGGATGTGACCACCTAGTCAGGGGGACAGTTTCAATACCAGAAGGCCACTGCATGACGTGCATGATGGGTGCTCTGGTTGGGGATCTGACGCGCTTTGCCAATCGCAGATGTTGCGTCCTGTGCTAAGGCTCTTGCCACACGCTTGAAACCAAGCTCGACTGCAGCCGCAGGGTACGCAACAGGCCCGGGAGGGCGAACGGAAGAGAATGATCAGGAAAACGGAGTCCTCCGCCAACGACAGCCACCAGTTTCCGTGCGTGGAGAGAGCTCTTCTGGCCCTCCGCGTTCGCATCCCTCCTCCTCCTCCTCCTCCTCCTCCTCCTCCTCCTCCTCCTCCTCCTAATGATCCTCCTCCTCCTCCTCCTCCTCCCTCTCTCCTCCTCCTCCCCTCCTCCTCCCCTCCTCATCTCGCCCTCCTCTCCTCCTCCTCCTCC